TGGCCCCCGACTCCACTCTCTCCATGCCTCATCTGTCAAATGGAATAATCGTCCCAATTTTGCAGGGTTGTTTTGTTGAACAAATGAGGCAGTGGCTCCAGAGGACTTTTACAGCAGGTGCTGAATGACTGACTAGTAGCCTGAAATCAGCCATTGTGAGAGTAATTATACCACAGAGATAGCAAACATTACAAATCAGAGCCTTTTTTCCCCCTAGGAGACTGTTTCCTAACCCACTACAGAAATGAAGTAATGTTTATGACCCCCAAGTGTGTGTGTGTGTGTGTGTGTGTGTGTGTGTGTGTGTGTGTATGTGTCTCACAAGCCCTAAGATATCTAGTGGACTCCAGACTCCAATATTCGACTGTGTACTCACAGCCCCACATGGTTGCTTAAAAAGCATTTCAGCTTAGCATGGTCAACACACATGGCTTCTGATTTCCACCCCATCGTTTCAACCAACTCCTAACTCTGTTGTCCCCATTGCATTAAATGACCCCAATGCCCACGCAGCAGCCCGGACCACAAACCCAGGAGTCATCCTTGATTCCTCTTTCCTGATTCCCCTGTCGAATCTTTCAGTGAGAGCCTCCAAAGTGGCTTCCTTGCTTCTGCTCTGGGTCCCTACTATCCACTCTCCATCCAGCCCCTAAATCAATCTTTTCATAACATAGATCGTGTCTCCTCTCTCTTAAAGCCTCACCATACAGCCTACAAGAGCCCACCCAAACTGCCCTCCATTCCCTTTCTCAGTTTACTTCAGATAGCTCTCCCCAACCATGGAGTCTCCTTTCCCTCAAAATGACCATGCCTGTTGTTGCCTCAGGGCCTTTCCACGTCCTGTTCCTTCCGTCTGGAATGCTCTTCCTCCAGGTTCTTACAGAACTGACTCCTTGTCATTCAAGTCTAAGCCTAAATGTCATCTCAGAGGGGCCCTTCCTCTCCACCCAAATCTCTTTTTCAATTGTACTTACTACCTGATATACTCTTATTTCTTGCCTCTCTTCATCAGAATAAAAGTTCTCTGAGAGAATGTCCTATAACATCTATTCACCATCATGGCCCCAGTGCTTAGAACAAACGTTGGCATATAGTAGATGCTCGGTATACATTTGTTGAAGGAATAAATGCCACGAAGACATTGTGTATAGTGCAATTTCTTTGAAAGATGCTGGAAATCCTTTCTCATTCTTTACTTGGGGAAGGGAGGGGCAGTAGAGAGACTATAGCTTCACCCATTTTGGTACCTTGCAGGACACCCAAGATTCTTGGGAAGGGAAGGTCTTCCCAGATAAGGGTTTATCATCTCCTTTGCACACTCCTCCCCAGAGAAAACCGCACATGAGGCAGGATGTGGCCGGCCTCCTTTTCTGACACTTGTGTGAACGTTATTTCAACTTCCAGAGAACTTTAACAACAGGCAGAATGCACCACAATAGCCCTCCCCATCCCATAATGCAATTCCCCTTTCTCCCTAAACGTGCCTAGCAAGTTTCTGGCACACAGAATGCACTTGAAAGATAGAAAAAGAAATTCCAGCTGAAACTAGGTATATGATATGTTCTTGAAATCTCGATAGTTTTATGTAAATTATAAGCCCTTTATAACTTACTGAGCATAAGTTTCAGAGCTGGACACACTTGGATTCAAATTCTGCGTCTGCCATTTCTGGCTGTGTGACCCAGAGCAAGTTACTTAACGGGGCTGAGTTTCAATGTTCTCACATGTTAGTTAAATGGAGATAATACAAGTTTATAGGGTTGTTATGCGAATTAAATGCAATAAAATGCACTTAATTGGCAATGTTAGTTTCCCCTCTTGCCATTAATCTCACCCTGAATTTCTAAAGTTCACTAAGAAATGAGTTCCCAGAGAGACTCCTTATTAACCTTTCTTTCTTGGGGACCACAATCCTTTGCTCTGAGGTGCCTGAGAGGAAGCACAGGGAATTGAGGTGGTGGTGAAGAGAAGCCTCAGACAAGGAATGCGCTCTCTTGAAGGGGGAATGGATGTTGCATACGCACACAGCTCAGAGTTGCTAACACCCCTCCAGCATACCCGCCCTTGCGGCATGAGTCCCAGCCCCATCACCCCTGGGGGCCCACCTACCCTCCACCCTCACTGTGGAGCCTGGGTGCCAAGAAGGACATCTCTGAGAGAGACTGGTGACTGGACAAGGCCAGGGTTTGAGAGGGTGGCTAAGCCCACACCACCTGCTCGGGGACTGGAGAAGGGAGGCTGCCTCTTCAGGTGCAACTCAAGTCCTACCTGCCCAGGGTTCGGGAGATCTCTGGGAAGACCTGGAGTTCACAAAAGCCCTAGACCGGGAGTCCGAAGCCCAGAGACTGGTCCTGGTCCTGTCTGACTAGCTGAACGAATCCGGCAAGTTACTCACTTGCCTAGGGCTGTTTCTTATCCTATTCTCTTTGAGGCTCCCGTATATCCGCAGCCTCTGGGCTCTCAAACTGTCAAACCTCACTAGGGGCAGTTCGAAAGCCCGAAGGGCTGCCCCTCTGACTGGATAAAGGGCTGCGAACAGACACCCCCAAGGTCTCTGGGGCCCCGCTGCCCCCGCGCTGGAGCCCAGCGCCTCCTCTCCGCCCGGATGCGCCCCAACTCCCCGCTCGCCCCTCGCTTTGCGCTCACCCGGCCGGGCTCCGGGGTGTGCGCTGCCAGCCTGGGCGACAGTGCTTCAGCCGCAGAGGCCGAGGTCCCTCCGGGGGACGCCGACATCGCGCCCAGCTGCTCCGCCTGCGGCCGTGGCCCTCGGGCGTTATCGTCCCCTGGGAGGGCGGCACCGGCGCCGAGTGGGCGCGGCGTGGCGAGGGTGGCGCCGGCCGGTGGCAACGTGCGGGAAACCTAGAAGCTGCGAAGTGCACGGTTTCGCTTCCCCAGGGGAACAAAATGCCTAAAGCCCAAATTCCCTGGGGGGAAAGGCCGGTTGAGCCCCCGGGGACCGTTTTCCTTGCGGCAGCTTCTCGAAAGTGCGAGAACCAGAGGCGGTTCGCGCTAAACTTCCTCCTGCAGATTAAGATTATAGCTGAATAAATTTACAAGATGCTAAATTCGATATCGGATCCTGAAATACACATTTTCCAGCCTCATACATAGATGATGGGTATGGCCACAGTAACTAAGTCTGGCTGGTGAATAAAAGCAGAGTGGTGTATGCAATTTCCCCAGAAAGGTCCTTAAAAGGAAAGGGTCACATCGTACACGGAAATTAAGTGAAAATGCATCACAGACCTAAGTGTAAAGGCTAAAACTAGAAAACTCTTCCAAGAAAACAGGAGGAAATCTTCATAAGCATGAGTTAGACGTTGTTTTTTAAGATAGGTCACCACAAGCACAAGTTGGACTATACCTTAATAAAAAACTTTATGCTGCATATCCTGCAACAAATAAGTGAAAAGACAACCCACGGAATAGAATATTTGCAAATCATAAAGACTTGCATTGGAATATGTAAAGAGCGCTTACAACTCAATAATAAAGACAGCTCCATTTAAAAGTGGGCAAAGGATGTCAACAGATATTTCTCCAAAGATAGGCAAATGGCCAATATACATATGAAAAGACGCCCATGTTATTAGAGAAATACAAAACTACAAGATATCACTCCACTTAGATGGCTATAATTAAAAAGACAATAACGAGTGTTGAGGAGGATGTGGAGAAATCATGCACTGCTGTTAGGCTGGGCATGTAATGTAAGCCAGCCAGTGCAGGCACTTTGGAAAACTGGCAGGTCTTCAAAAACTTAAACGTGGAATTAGCATATATCTCAATAATTCTACTCCTAAATATATACCCTAGAGAGATGAAAACATGTTCACACAAAAACTTGAACACAAATGTTCATAACATTATTTGAGAGCCCAAAAGTAGAACTTTTGATAAATAAAATGCGGTAGGTATTTCCATATGATGGACTATTATTCGACAATAACAAGGACATGAATGAAACTTGAAAACATTAAGCCAAAAGACCACATAGTGTATGATTCATTCATATGAAATGTTCAGAAGAGGTAAATCTGTAGACAGATTGTAGACTTGTGGTTGCCTAGAACTGGGGTGGAGACTGAAATGCAAATGTGATCTTGAGACCTCAAGTTAACTCATACTAATACTGGCATTAATGATACCAGAGCCCATAATGCTAAAGTATACACTACTTAGTATAAAGCAAGTCATTCATTGCATTTTCTACACCTCAGTTCTTCTTCTTCTTTTTTTAATTGAGGTATAACTGACACAAACATTATATTAGTTTTAGTTGTACAATATAATGATTCAGTATTTGTATATATTGTGAAATATTCATCAATTCTTTAATCTACAAAATGGGTACTGTTTCTTAATTGCAGCCCTATCACAGTGGAAGAATAATTAGATAATGCATATGCTAAATATTTAATTCTTTGGAAACTAACCATTAACTTAAGCTGAAGCTTTTTCGATAATCTACTTTTAATTACATCATTTTATGTGCATTTTTATCAGGTCTGGAAACATTTCATTCTCAGTATTTGTACTTTGTTGCATATACTACCATAATTTTAATTTTAAAGTGGGCAGAAAACAACAAAAAAAACCTTAATCTTTTTTTTGTTGTTGTTCACAGAAATGTAATTAAAATAATAGGCTTTTGTTCCTAATAGCTACTCTTCTACTTAAAGTCATGGCATGTTCCTAATGCAATTTTTAGTTAAAGATAAATAAGTTGGATTTCAATAAATAGCAGGATAACAATAACCAAAAAACTTGCCTTTTAATTAAAACAAAAGACAATTAAAATACCTGAAAGGATGCACACCAAAATGTTACCAGTGGTTATCACTGAATGGTGGAATAATCGGTGATTTAAAGATTATTTAAGGATATCTGCATTTTATAATTTTCTACAATGTACATGAATTATCTGTGCAAAAAAATACATTTAAAACAAACAACAAAGAGTCAAATATTAGCCTACTAAATAAACCACTGCTATTTGAAGATCTGGTGTGATGAACAATTTTTTAATTAAATGGTTTGGACTTAGAAAGAGAAAGAACAAAGGAGTAAACCCTACTAAGGAGTCTTCATGCTAGTTCAACTCAGGACATAAAGGATGGTTCAAAAATTAAACACAAACATTGAGTTAGTATTAAAAATATCACATTTTAACATTTCTGAGAATTAAATGAAAGTAACATTGGTTAGAGTACCTGACAAACAGAAAATACCTAATAAATGTTTGTTGATTCTCAAACTGAAGAACTTTGCCAAATAAAAATGACAAATGCACTTATATGTAACTATTTTATCACAAACAAGTATAAATTATTTCACAGATCCTTTTAATCAATAGTATTTCATCTTTAAGACATCAGTTCTTTGACCATTAGTAAAAGATTGTTTTCCAAATACTTTAAGGCACTAAAACAGATGAATACATATTTTCGACACAATGAAACATCGTGAAAAGTATCCTGAATGAGACAAGTATATAAGTAAGATCACTTTTACAACCTGGATAATGCATAGTAATTTAACCAATAAATTAGAATCTGTAAAATTGGAAATGTACTATTACATATCAGCCCTAACAATGATTTTCAAGAAACAGATGACAATGTTGAAACAACTACTTAGGTAAAATTATATTATTCCACACCTCAGATGCTTCCTTATTTCCCAGTTTGCCTTCCCTTACCAAATTCATGTTTTCTAAACATGTTTTGAGTATTCTACACATTTAATTAACAACTTTACAATTTTAAACTTTCAGGTAAAAATCTTTATCAGATGATTTTCATTTAAAAAAAACCTCTGAGAATATCATTCACTTTAGTAAAAGTTTTCAGTTACAAATGAAAGTTATTGCTGGTAACAGGTCTTGCCCTATAGGAACTTCTCACTGGGGTGTATTATACATGTACACACAAGAAAACCTCCAATGTGTCTTCTGGTTAAATGATTATAAACTGGAAGATCTATGAAGGAGGCTTTTCTATAGGTATGAGACAAATACGTCCAATGAGAGTTCCCTTTATAGAAATAGAGAATCAAGACTATAATTATGCAAATGAAAATTATAAAATGCTTCATGATAGGCCTGTATGAAACATTTTCTTAGATTCTAGAAAATACATTAATAATCATTTTGTTTTATATCTGAAAAAGTTCACTGGTTTTACCATCGCTTCATTATTTTAAATGCCATTATTTTTGTTTTACTAGGATTCTACCTTAGCTGTAAACAATACTGACAGTATTTATTTTCTATTATCTATCTGTTCATTTCTGAGAGTAAATGACAAAAGGAAAAGGTTTTCCTTTGTCCTCCCTCTTCCTAATAAAAAGACAGATCCCTACCATGCAGAAGGCTGGAAGCTAGAAAAGAAAGCATTCTTATAATGGATCTCAAACAGAAGATACATCTTATAAAACAGGTCGCCTAGGAAGGTGTGTATTTCCCTTTTGTTATTCCTGAGCCTTTAATAAAAACCTCATTTAAATATTCTAACCTTGTCTCAGCTGTACTTGTAAAAGATAAAGTATAGGTTTGTGTCATGATTAGTTCAGAGTTAAAAGGGAACAGTTAAGAACAAAAAGAACAAACTATGGGGACGAAGATAAAACTCAAAGGTCTAGCAGCCCCATTTCAGCGGAGAGCCTTCCACCGTCCATGGTGAAGCATGCAGGTTTTATTTCCTTAGGGTGGAAGCTTGGTGCAGGATTTCCGAAGACTGGTTCTTCTACTACATGCCTAAGAATCACTTGAGATTAAAAATACAGAGATCTGGGACTCATCCCAGATACAATGAATCAGAATGTGTGTGGTAGGTGGCAGGAATAGGCATTTTAAAATGCTTCCCAAGTGATTCTTACACTAAGCTTTGAGAATCATTGTAAATCATGGCTTTATAAGAATGGCTCTTTCAGGGGGTCCACAGGTCAAAACTATTTTCATAATCACACTAAGACGTTATTCGTTTTGTTCATTTTCTCATGAATGCACAGCAGCATTTACTAGAGCCTACAAGATGTGTGATATCACAACAGACTGAATGTAGAAGCTGATATGAGACTCCATCTGTCTTCTTTAAGTCAGAAAGGAAAGACATTTGCAAAAAATGGAATTCAATGCCACTTTTCTCTCTCAATCTTTTTATGTTTTGGAAAATAGACATTTTTTTTTTTTTTATAAAAGTGTTACTACTAACATTTTTATTATTTTAAAATTTATATAACTTTTAAATTTTAATATAATATATATGATCCACATAAACAAAAGATCTTGAGACCAAAAAGTTTGAGAACTGCTCTTTCCTGCAGTCATCCAGTGTCCTATGAACATTACTGCTGATAGGCATTGCTTAGTTCCTTGGCACACTCAATATATATTTCAATTTAAATGATGCGATAGATCATTTATGGAAAAAGCTCCCTAAACTTATGTTTGGGCAAGGGGATCGAATCTGACAGTGAAATACTGAAGTCTGACCAGTTTTAAAGTCTAAGAAACAAAGCATGTTATCCTTGGTGACATCAGAATGTAATAAATAATCCTTTAATGTATACACAGGTTGACTCTAGTGTATGGAACAGAAAACCATACTTTACATGATGCATTTTAAAAATATTAATTAGCAATGTGACAATACAGTATTAGATTCTAAGTAGCTGCAAACAAATGGCTTACTCCAAATGTTAGCTAAGAACGAATCCCTAATTTTTGAAAGAAAACAAAATAGGTGATGAACTGGGGTTCCTAGGAAGAAATTTTAAAAATTTATAGTCCCTTAAAATGTAGAAATGTGAGTAGACAAGATTAATATTGAAATTATATTAAGTTACAAAATTTTATTCTTAAATAAAAATACATCTTAGATACTGTTGCCAAATTAATATCTGAATATATCTTGCCATTAGAGAATGCAAATTGAGAACACTTTGAGGTCTAGACATAGCTGTGGTGAACACAGTTCCTTCCAGCCTTCTGATTGTACCTCAGGAATAAAATAATTACATTGAAGCTTTTAACTTGCCATGAGTAATTTTTTTTAAGGTAGTTCTTTAAAACTTCTGAGACAGCTAATATTTAAATAAATCACTGCTGTTTGGGAATGATGCTTAAATGAATGATGCTGTGAACATACCTGCTAATTTATACCATATTAAGATTTTAAATGAATACAGTTATTGAATATATTTTACGTTGAATAATTGGTATTTGAAAATAAGTGTATTTTTTTTGAGTAGCCTTTTGGAAAAAGTGCATTGAATATAGTTTCCGGTCATGGTTTACTCTCCTTATACTTAGTTAAAAATCTTCTCATCCGGAGGGAGTTAAATAGTACTCGAACCAGAAGTCCAAAGAATCTGACTTTTCCTTTCCCCCATTTTGGTGTGCATGTCCACTTATAACCATTATTTCTCTATAAATTTTCCACTTAGTGTTTCCGAAATTAATGTTATGAAAGTTCTCTAAAAGGTTCAGGCGTCTTGTGGAGTCTCTGAATGACTACGGCATTCTGTAAATCCGCTTCCTCCAATGTGAGTGTTTCGTCTAGCGATCTGAGGAAAGGAAGAGCTGTTGCCAGAGAAAAGGGAGGACTTCTTTCAGATCCTTGATATTTTTCGATGAAGTCTTTGACGTGGCTTACCCTGTAAAACAGCACAGACTATTAATATAATTTTATGAAAACGTGAATTGTCTCATTTGAAGTAATAACTTGCGAAGCTGTCTGGCTATGTTAATATATAGAATAGTCAAATTATAATGATAGAACTGATCGTTTGGGTTATCTTTTAAAGGCTGAACCTTGGTGATAGTAAGGAATCACTGTTAATTATCTTGGGTATGACAAAGGTATTATGGTTACACTTTTAAAAGAATATTCTTCTTTTAGAGACACATACTGCAATATTTACATGAGAAACTCTATGAAGTCTGGGACTTGCTTAAAAATAGTTCAGTGGGAACTAAGCGATGAATCATTATCTTCTCTTTCCTTTAGTATATACTTCAAAGTTTCTATAATAGACAGTTTATGTATCTATGTATCTAGCTCTGAATGGATCAGAAATGGTCCAACTAGTAATCTTACACAGACAGAGTTTTCTCTTAAATGCCAGGTCATGCTGTGCTTCAAGTCCAATTAGGAAAATTCTTAACTCGGTGCACATAGAATCTAAGATAGTATAGTGAACACACATAATACGATCATTGCAATCTTGAAGGTAGTTCACCTAAGCATATGTGTGCATATTTAGAGATGGGGAGCACATATGCAGTTCCTCAAAACTAAGATGCTACAGATTTTAAGACACATCATTTTATGTATTACAAAAAAAAAAATCTAGCTTATGACGAGATATTTTCTTCACACTTAGAATTTTTATTTTGTACTTGTCGAAAGAGCACTTTTAACTTAATTTCATATAAACATTTATCAAATCACCCATGGGCTTCCATGACATAAGCAGAATAAAACGGTTAAGTCACTCCTAATGCCCGAACATCAGTCAGACTTGGATTCTTTGAATCACTCTTGATTTGCTCATTAGTGTACATGTTTTTCCACATCATACCCACTCTCTATATCATCAGCTATGCTGGTGATATAGAATTTATTTAGAAAAGTGCTTCACTATGTCTCTGGGATGTTTTCGTTCAGTTGACACTCAGACTGCATGTTTGGAGGCAGATGCTAAGGCAAAGACAATTGTGACATGACTGCCATGTGGCCAACAGTGAACTACAGGATGCAACCCCATTTCAGAGATGCTAAAACATTTCATTCCGAATGAGTGAAATACGGCACATCGCAAAGACACAATTCTCCCATTCAGTGTGTTTACTAAAATTCACTAATTGCCACTCTATTAAACCTGTGCAGGTAACCCCGTGAGTCTGAGACAAGGTCCCACGTATTTACTTGGGACCGAAAATCGGATAACTAAAGGTGGAAGCTTATGGTAAACAACATAAATATAAAAAGTAAGAAAATAGTAAAGATTAATGGAACCGTGCAGTAAAAATTAAAAATGTATACTGTGATCTTTATGATCACACTGAGATAACAAAGACATGCAAATCCTAAAAGCTGTAAGAGGATTAAAAAATAATAAATACCTGTTAAGCTCAAAGGAGGTAAGAAAGGAGGAATAAAGAATAAAAAGATACGGGGGTAAAGAGAAAACAAAGAGCGAGATGGTAGCCCTAAACCCAGCTACTTCAAGATACTACATATCACTTTAAAAGGGTATTAAACATTCCAATTTAAAAACAAAGCCTGATTAATCATCACTCAATATCTACTGTTGGCCAAAGTTCTTAAATGCTTCATTAATTCAGGGAAAAAAAAATCTTGGTGACTTTGTTATTGAAAATGTCAGAAGTATTTTTCTAGACGAAGAAGTTGAGATTAAAATACTTTACTTCTGGGGTGGCTCCATAGTGTAATGGTTAGCATGTCTGCTTTACATGCAGAAGGCCCTGGGTTCGCGCCCCAGGTGGAGCCACGGTCCATATACCAGGTGCGCCGGGCCCCAGGTGCACGCCATAAGGGCACGGGAGGAGACACCCCATCTTTAGAGATCCAGTTCTTAAGGGGAAATGGCAACATCTATAGGTCAGGGGTGTAAGTGGGGCACATTAAAGATGGAGAAAAAAATGTATATATTTTATTTCCCTAAAAAGAAACAAACTAGGACAGGAATAACAAATCCCCTCTTCCATTTCCCACAAGTTTAGTTTGCCCTCCTTTCATTTAAAGGAATTTAGATCACAGAGCATTCCAGGGTACTATTTTAAACATATGCTTCTTCTATCATTATGATAACCAGTTCTCTAATTCTAGCTGTCTAGGGTGGTTTTGACATTTAAAAGTAATATAAGTGAAGTGCCTTGAAGAGTACCAAACACAGAAAGCACTCAGTAAATGGTAGTTAAAAACAAAACACAAAACAGGAACCAAAAAAGACTGTTGGCCTAGCCTACATGTAAAAAACATAAATAACTATTTATAAGAAATACCTTTAAATATACTGACATAGATAAATATGTAGATAAGCTGAAATTAAAAAGAAGGAGGAAGACATACTATGCAAGCACTAAACCTAAGGAAGCTGGTGTGACTATATTAACATCAGGCAAAGTAATTTTCAACACAAAATTATTAGGGATTAAAAGCCAGTTCTTGTGTGTGTGTGTGTGTGTGTGTGTGTGTGTGCGCGCGCGCGCGCGCTAAAAAGGTCAATTCATCAGAAAAAGCCAACAATTTTATCTTTGTACGAACCTAATAATATAGCTTTAATATATTTAAAGTAAATGTTGACAGAAATAAAAAAGACAAATCCACACTCATACCTGGAGATTTTAGCACAATTCAATTAGGTAACTGATATAATAAGGATTTTTTTTTTAACATGAGGTTACCTTTATTTATGATCATTTCTTTACAACCATTCAAACAAGGGTAACTCCCACATCTACCTTCAATGCCTGAATCTCCCTCTAGAAACTTAGATTCATATATCTAACTCTACAGAACATATCTCCTTAAAGAAACCATTAACTCCTCAAGTCAACATTTCCTCTCCCACCCCTTGAATCACCTCTCCTTTTCCTGCTAACACTGAGCTTTTGTCTGAAACTGTGGCTGCTGTGTTCCTTTAAGAAGTACTTATGTCTGGGCTTCAGTATCCAAGTGCCTAAAACAAAGCCTATGATTGTGCACCCAGCTAGAAAGATGTATAACAGGGACACAGAATGGTCTGGGTCATAGAAGGTTCTGTCACCACAGTAAGGACAGCGGTTAGCACTGAACCAGACCATGCTGGGTCACCCCAACTCCTGCAGCATCTGCCTCAGCTTGGCATGCAGCTGGGCAAGGAAACCCAGGTGGAGGTTGCCACAGACATCCTTGTAGCTCTCCAGGGGGTTACTTTATTTATTATAAAGTAACAATAATTAAGACAATGCAGAGTTGGCAAAAGGAAAGATAGACCAATCAAACAGAATGCAGAGTCCAGAATAGCTCATCTGATTTACAAAAAGATACCATAGCAATTCGATCAAGAAAGGACAGTCTTTTCCACAAACAGCACAATAAACAGGACTTGGCCATGTAACTTGCTCTGGCCAATGGAATGTTAGTACACTGATACAAGTAAATGCTTTCTTAGTGGGACCAGGCCTCTTATGCCTCTGCCTTTGCTATGAGAACAACATGGGCAGGTAGATCGTGATTCAAGACGATTGAGAGATGCAAGGTGCAGACTTTAACTCATGGACCTGCAGTCTAAATCAGAGCTCCCCTAGATGACCTGTAGACATGTGAATGAGCTCAGCTGATATCAGCAAAGCCACACCAGCTGACACATGAGAAATAAATACTTGTTATTCTATGTCATGAGATTTTTGTGACTGTTTACTGAGCAATGCTGATTGATACATTCATACAAACAAATATAAGCCTCCACCATTACCCATAAAAATAGAAAGGATAATTATTTTCATATAAGGTACTATAGTACAGCAATGAAAATGAATGAGTTACAGCTACTCATATCAACATGAGGTCTCAAACACATACTGAGCAAATAAAATAAAGAAAGAAAAGTTGTAGTAGAATGCATAAAATATAATTCCACCCATAGGAAATTAAAAAAATAAAACAAAACTGCCTTTTCCTTTCTTTACTGGACAATTCAGTCCCAAAGTCACATTAGTAGGGCAGAACATGAGAGGCACCCAGGCCAGAAGTAAGAGGGAATTGTGGTGGCCTCATACAGGGAACCGGAGTTCACTCACACAGGAAAGCTGCCCACCTGTATGGTGTCAGAGTCTGACCAACACAGGGAGGACGTCCATGTAGGGGAGGTGGGGCGGGGGGGTAGTTAGAGCATAAGCATGGTTAGCAGTGTGTCTACGTAGGGGAGCTGTCCAGTGTAGAGTGCCAGAAACCAAGTGGGGTGAGAAATAGATCCACACTGAGGGGCAGGAGGAGAGGTGGCACAGAGCAGGCTGTCTCAAGCAGCATCAAAAGAGCATTTGCATAGAGGAGCGGCCAACTGTGGTGTATTCGACCCAGAGCGGGTGACGACAGTGTCCGAGCCTGGGGAGGAGAGACGGTGTCAGAGCCCAAGAGAGCAAAGAAGCCATGGGCATGGGGTGTTGAAGTGGCCTGGGGTGATGTGTCAGAGACCCATGTGTCAGGAAGAGAAGGGAATCTATGTGAGAAATCAACGCGGAGAATTACAGCCCAAGCAGGGCGAGGGCGGCTTCCACGTCAGGGGAGGCGGGAGCAGTAGAAAAAGGAGACCGGTTACATATGGGAGAATTCATCTATAAATAAATATATTAAAAATCATCGGAGCTGAGCTTCTCTGTGGGAGGAGTCAGTTACAAGTATGGGAAGAGGAAAACTAGAATAAACCCTGTGGTGGTGGTGAATTGACATTGGAGGTACCTATGTGAACTCATGGTTTTTGAGATGCAAAGATACAGAAATACAGATGTAAACATATGTGCAGGTGTAGATGTATATCCGCATGTGCGTATATACCTGTAGCTCTGTCCTCTCAGAGTCCTGGCATCCAAATAAGCAGAAAGGACACCTCGTACCCAGATTCTGGCTTCTCAACACATTGTCCAGTAAAAAGAACTGGGGCTTCTTAGAAAAAGTAAAGAATGAACTTGAAAAAAAATTTCGTGCCAAAAAACAAAGAAATGCTCATAGAATAATGGAAATGTGTTCAAAGTTTAAAAGAGGTCCCACTGACTATATCTGGGACAATATGGGCATTAAAATAAATAATGTTGTTAGGAGATTATAACCCACTGGATAAAACAGGAAACCACAAGTAAATTGCAGATATAAATAAATGAATAAACTTGATGTCTTAGGAAGATCATGATAATTATGCAATTTCAAACTTCTTTCCCACAAAATATATACTAATTACAAAGAGAAAAAGAATAATGTCATAGTAAAGGAACTTGGCAGATACCATTTAATCAAGTGAACAAATTTAACATAGTGGGACAAAATGTAAATGATGCCACTCAATAGGATGCAATGAGATGTACAATGCATTATTTCTGTGACAGTCCCGCCAAAATTAGTGACCTAAATATAATCACAAGAAATTATCAAATTAAAAAAAAATGGCCTATAATTTTAAAAACTTTCAAGGTTATGAAAATCAAGGAAAGACTAAAGAAATATTATTTCAAACAGAGACATGACAACTAAATGTAGAGTGTAATTCTGATTGGTCTTTGGGGATAAAGGATGACATCAGATTAAACGGCAAACCTGGAATAGGGTCGGAAGAGTCGGTAGAGTGTATCGATGTTAAATTCCCATCTAAAAATGGCTGAACTGTAGTTATGTGGGATAATGTCCTTGTTTGTAGGAAACACACATTAAAGTATTTTGAGTGACAGGTCATCATACTGGCAACTTACTCTTCAGTGGTTAGGAAAAAAAGTTCTTTACACTGTTCTTGAAACTTTTCTGTATGCTTATAATCGTTTTAAAATTTAAACTAATTATTTGAAAATGAACAGAACAACTTACTGTGTTTTAAGGATACATATGTACTTGGTAAAACTCTGAATAAAAGCAGAAAATGATTAATATAAATTTAGAAAAGAGTTTATCCCTTGCAGAAAAGGAAAGGTATGTTGGTGTATGTTTTGAGCTAGGAGGTACATATGTCTATTATTTTAACTATGTCTATATATATATATTCTGTATAACTCGCCCCCTCAAATTTTAAAATACTTTTAAATAAAGAAGAAATTTATATACAGTATGTTCCTATTTTTAATTAAAATGAAAAAAATTTTAAGAAGATAAAAGACTGGAAAAATCCATTGAACTGATAATAGCAATTATCTCTGGGTGATGGAATTTAAACTGACTTCAATTTCTTTCAGTACTTTTCTGTATTTTCATACTTTTTCTATGATTAACAGAAAAAATATGCACATAATGCTAATAATCGATTTTAAAACATATTAAAGATAATTATTTTAAAATTATGTATCCAGTTAAACAGGAAAACTATTCAAATGATAAGAATGATAATTCATAAAACAGACTGGAAATACTTCATTAATGTCCAAGAATTTCAAGTCATGATATATTATGTTTAGAGAATAGTTTATTAAGATCCTTGGTTAGTTCTTAAAAATGACTCTTGACTGAACTGAAAAGAAGATATGAAATTTAAACTTAGGAAGAAATCAGGCAAATGAAATTAAAGACTCACCTATGAGAAATGTTAAATTTCTGTACAATCCTTTTCCCATTGGCTAACCAGATCTGAATGTTAGTGATGGGTTCCAGCTTGTTTAGTGGGACAGCAAACAAATTATTTTTCTTTGTAACGTCATTACTTTTTCCTTTAAAAACAATTTTTGGTGTGGCACTAAAAAAAATCCAGAAACAGAGTCAAATGCATGTTTTTTCATTAAACAGAACTTTATCATTAAATAATTATCATAAAATATTTTACATTAATATAGCTGTTAGGAAGATTTTAGTGAGTTACAACTGTTTCCTCAATGATGATATACAGATATTAATATTAGTTATGTCCATCATATATTTCTAATGAAATTATGCATATCCAAGTCATCTGTAAGCTAGCAGAGTGCTGTGTAAACATATTGTTAGTAGTATTATTTGAATAATAATACAGACTTTACCTTTATCTACTCCCCAGATTAAAATTTCTAAAAGAAATTATAAATTCTCTATAGAGATTAGTCCTTGGATTATAAAGAAAAAGAAAGGAAACAAAGGATTTCCTGATCATTCTGAAAGTCACACCGGGATATTTTTATATGTGTGGATGGATATGTATATATTTTACCAGTCTTGATAATCAATTTTGGGAATTTATAAAAATAAAAGTGATTCCATATCTAACCTCCTTGCATATTCTGTCATAGGGCATAGTTAGATATAATGAAGACTACAAAATTTGAAAATAATTAAAGACTTTGCTACTGATATTAACTTTATGAGGCATTTTTTCATTTTTATTACCTCAAAATTTAAATATTGATCACTGAACACAATGATGAAAGCATTGTTAAGTATTAAATGGAACTCTATATTTGAAAGCTAGCATATGTACATTGTACAATTATTGACAAAGCTCAAGTGGTGGATATAAGGAAGAAAAAATGATTCGTCCATCCAATTTTGCTTAATGTACTCAATAAGCCAGGCCCTTTTGATCTGATATGATAAAAACAGCCCCCATGATTTTTGAGCGTAGTGCAAGCATATGTTAATTTACACTAAGATAAATATGACTTAGAAGTCCTCATAAAAGTTAATATGAAAAACCTTGATTTTTTAGTGTAGTGCAAGCATATGTTAATTTACACTAAAATAAATATGACTTAGGAGTCCTCATAAAAGTTAATATGAAAAACCTCGTTTCCAGTGTGAGAAATGATAAGCTCTATGTATGTCGTCTACATGGTAATATAATGATGGTGGAATATTAGTCAAGCCTCTGCTTATGGAAAGCACAGAGCATGAGCCTACTCACCTTCCCAGTCTATGACCTTGTCCTGAGAAGGGCTGGAACACAGGCTTCGTTGACACACAGACTTCATTTTTCTTATCTTCAACTTTAACATCCACCTCCTCTTTATCAAAAGTTCCCTCCAATTCTAAAGGTAATTCCCTTCGAAAGTAAAGAAACAAAGTGATAACGCTCCTGAAATATTTTTTCTTTCTTCGAAAAACATACTCTCTATGCAAAAAGAATTGAAAAATATCTAGAAATAAGGAGTGTAACATTTTTACAATAAAAAAGTGAATGCATTTAAAATAATATAAATAGTATGAATATCAAAAACCAAGAACAATATAGTCACTTTTAAAATGACAAATTAATTAACAGCTTGAGTTATTTGGCAGTACCGATAATACTACTAGAGTCATTGGATATTTGATGACGATACACTGCTAAATTTAAACAATTTGATCATTTTTATAGGTATCTGAATAGGATTAAAAAATGTACTAGAAAAATCAAGCTCTCATTTCAATTTTTAAATGAAAATATAGATTTACTCTGAACATGATAAGTAAAATGTGAAACACGTTAGAATTTTTAAAAAGATTTTCACATTTTATCCTCCTAATAGAGAGGATAAAGTGACATAGGACTTGGACTCAGTCTGGGGCTTTGTCTAGTACAACGCAAATGCCTCTCTTTTGTTTTACTCACAAACATAGTCTAATCTCAAGAACAGGACCTGGTGCACAGAACTTGGCAGATGTCGACTGAATCTTATGATCTAGTAGAGGCAGGGTCTTGTCTAATGAGCACTTGAAAATTTACAATGTTACAGAATATACCTGATATACAAGCAAAGAACTTACATGGGGAAATTTTTAACAAACTACTAATTTTAACAAACTTTCAGAAAAATAGTTGATTTTTTTCTGATAATAGAAATAATGCAAATTTGTTAGTATATACTTGTGATTTGTATACTTTTCTGTATGTCGTACATCAAATTTTTAAATTTAAGATACATGCTTGTTTTAAAAAAAATAAGGCATAAAAATATAAACACATATCAACTTAGAAAGGGATGGTTCTTATAATACCACTCTGATGGTGCGTCTCCTAGATTTTCTCTATACATATAGTAAAACTTCATTTAATCCTTTATTTATTTTTGTCCCAGATGGTATTAATTTACACATACTACTCTGTATTCTGCAAACTGCTTTTTTAAAAGCAATATACCACAAAAAGTATTTTCATGTTAGTATACAGATATGTCATTCATTTTTACCAAATGCCCACTGTTACTTTGTTATAATGTAGATCAAATGGTATTAACATATCCTTTCCATCTTTTCTTACTGCTTTGTAAGATTTGTGTATATATCCATTTAAATGACATATATGTAACAAGTATTCCCAGTTTGGCATTTGTCTTTTGACTGTATATAGTGTCTCTTGGTATATATATAGTTTTTAATATTTACATAATAAAATTTATCCATCTTATATTGCTTCTGGGATTCGTGCCAACTACAGCTATATGCGACAACATCAATGACTATCCCAAAGAAGTAAGCTGAGTAGACGCAAAAAATAAATGCATTTCATTTACATAATGTTCAAAAAAACAGATAAAATGAAATTACAGTGTTTAGGGATCCATGCTACACAGGTAAAAGTATAAAAAAACGCAAAAAATAAATTACTATTAAAGTAAGGATAGCATTTGTGAAATTCCTACCAATGTGTTTGACTTTAATCTTATCATGAAGACAAAATCAGATAAATCTGAATTGAGGGGCATTCTATATAATTCAGGTCCATGACCTTCAATGTTAAGGTCATAAAAAGAAATCAAAGTCTACTGCAATCCTACTTTGAACAAGCCCGATTCTGTCTGATCTTGGAAACTAAGCAGGGTCGGGCCTGGTTAGTTCTTAGATGGGAGACCACCTAGGAAGACCAGGTGCTGTAGGCGTTAAAAAAATTAAAAAAAATAGGGGATTGTAAGCAGACAAGGTCCTTGCAATCTGTGAGGTCAATCAAGGGTTGCCTCGCCTTAAAAAAAAAAGAAATCAAAGAAAACTGAGGAACTGCTCCATTGTGAAGGAGACTAAAGAGATATGACATGTAAATGTACTGTGTGATTCTGAATTGGATGCTTTGCTATAAAGAATAATATTAAGACAAAGAGTGAAACTTAAATAGAGTCTGAGGATCAAATGGTCGTAATATATCAATAGATGATTGCATGTGGTTATATAGGAAAATGTTCTTGCTTATAGAGGCATCACTTTAGCGACTTATTTACAAAATGGTTTTAGGAAAAAAGTTCTTTGTACTACATTTGCAACTTCTGTATAAGTTTGAAAAGGATTCAAAATTAATTATATTATATTATAAAGCCATTTGAAATCTGAGTATACATACATATACAGACATATATATGTGTGCATATACACTGAAAATTGGCTACTATTAACCCTTCTAAAATACAGACTGACCAAAAAAAGTGCTTTGCACCATAAATTGATGTCATGCCTAAAAACGTGCACTGAAGAGATAGTGCCACGGGATAGAAATTTAATATTGCACCTCTTTTTTGGAAAGCAGAAGCATGAATATGAACATCAATAGCTAAAAGAATGTTCATGCCTTTTATTCAATAATTTTCTTTCCGGCAATCTATCCTGAAAGAGTAATCAGAGATATTGGTCAAAATTTAAATACAATTATAAGAAAACATAAGAGTAAATCTTCAAGACCTTAGATTAAGTTATGGTTTCTTAGATATGATACCAGAAGCAAAAGTAATGAAAGAAAAAAAACAGATAAATCAGACTCCAACAAAATTTAAAACTTTTGTGCTTCAAAGGACATCATCAAGAAAATGAAAAGACGACACAAAGAATGGGAGAAAATATTTTAAAATCATATATCTGATACGGGACTTGAATCGAGAATATATAAAAAACTCGCCCAACTCAACAAAAAAGCAAATAACCCAATTTTAAAAGCAGGCAAAGGAAAAAGAAAAACAGAGAATGGATTTAAACAGATATTTCTTGAAAGAAGACATACACGTGGCCAATAAGTACAAGAAAGATGCTCAACATCACTGGTCATTAAGGAAAAGCAAATCAAAACCACAATGAGATACCACTTCATACCCACTAGGATAGCTATAATTAAAAAAAAAAAGATACTAACAAGTTTTGGCGAGAATATGAAAAAATTGGAACTCTCATACACTGTTGGCGGGAATATAAAATGGTGTAGTCACTTTGGAATACAGTTTGGCAGTTCTTCATAAAGTTAAACTAAATTTAACATCAATTTTACTCTTAGACCTGAGAGAATTGAAAACACATGTCTACACAAAAACTTGCACATGAATGTTCATAGCAGCATTATTCATAATAGCTAAAACACGGAAATGACTCGAGTGTCTATTTACTAATAAATGGATAAACTAAATGTGATATAACCACACAATGCAACACTACTTGGCAATAAATAGGCAAATCCATACAGACAGAAAGTAGATTAGTGTTTGTGTAGAACTGTGGAGGGGAAAATAATGAATGACAATTAGCATGGGGTTTCTTTTTGGGGTGATAAAAATATTCTGGAATTAATAGCGCTGATGATTGTACACTGTGAATATACTAAAAAAATGGAATTGTATACTTTAAAGGGATGAATTTTATGGTAGACTAATTATATCTCAATAAAACTGTTATTAAAAAAATATAGTTACAGATAATTTTTCAGGGGCAAAATTAAGAAATAATTTGCCAACAACTTAGTGTATAAATAAAAATATGTGTCATCATTGTGAAAAAACATTATGCATGTATATTCACATACTTTAATAGAAATTCAAAATCATTTTTCAAAAAAATATATATGCATATCATATATGAGTCCATGCACAGAAAATGCCAGAATGAAATTCAACGAAAACGTTAATAGCAGTTACTTCTGGGTGATGAAATTATAGGTAATTTTCATGTTCTTAATACTTAAAAAATTTTCTAGATCAAACATATATAACACTTAGAATCATAAATACATAATAAACATTACAGGCAATAGAAATCACAATTTGAATACTATAAAGATATTTAAACATTAAAATATAAATATTAAATAACAACTAGGATGTGGAATTAATACTTGGCAAAGCAAATTAGTTTAAGTCTGATTTTGATTGATTACAATTCAAATTCCTACACTTTTTTCAAAATTATAGCTGTGGCTCTCTTGAGAAAACTCATCCTATAAAACTCTAAATTTACAAAAGAAAAAGTATCTGTGAATGTGTAGGGATGCGTAAACATTAAAAAGGATTCTTCCAAAGGCAACATTCCTAAAATAACCTTCTATTTACAAAGATCGCTTACCCTTTTTTGATGGAGTTCAGAAACTGCCGACTTGCACCATCAGAATAACTTCTGAAATCATCATTGACTGTGAATCCATTTTTCCATAATTTTATACTTATATCTACCTGCAAAGAGGTAACAAACAAAATGGATCGTGTTAATAAAAAGTACGATACTTCTGTATGTGGTAGAAATGCTTTATGTGTACTTCACATCTTGTCAAACAGAATATTAGTAAGATGTGTATCGAAGGGTTGGGATTTAATAAAATTTATAAGTTTTACTGTTTCATCAAGAACATTCTTAAGTGAAACTAGCGTTTATTTTCTCCGTGCAAGTAAAGAATACAGTAATGACCAGTACAGTTTGGTGCCATTGCCTTGATTCCTCCTAAGGTGTCAGCAGCTTTACGACCCACCACTGCTTTTGCAGTATTGGTGCAAAGTCAACATAGTGACAAGGTAAATAATATCTTGCTATCATTGTGAAAAAGTTTTGACCTCACGGACCCTCTAAAAGGTCCATATTTGGAGAAAGACTGGAAGAGACAAAAGTTATGGACATCTACCTGTTTCTTCTGTTCAGTGGGAGACAAGCATCTGGCACCAATCTTCTGAGCTTCTTCAAAAAGGCTGTCGACAAAATATTCACACGTTGTTTGCTGATTATCACTAAGAGGTTGGTTGTCAGATCCTGTTTCACAAACCCTACACAACAACAACAACAAAAAAGAAAAATAAGCTAACTACTAACTACTAATTCTCTAAAAATTGACATAAATTGTTCTAGTTAAGGGATCCTAAACTGAGAAGCTACCTCCATGTCCACAGTTCAGACCCTCTTCTAAGTTAAGATCATAGAGATGTGACCTTGGGGAGTCCATTAATCCTTTTGGTCCAGAGCAGCATTTTCTCAAGTTCAGTCTATTGGCATTTGGGTAGGGATAATTCTTCGTTGTGTGGGCTGCCCCATGAGTTGTAGGATGTTTAGCAGCATCGTGGCCTTTACCCATTAGATGTTAGTAGCATGCCTACTCCTCCATCCCCCAAAGTGTTATAACCACCAAAAACATCTCTAATCATTTTGTCCTCTGGGCAGGGTAAAATCTCACCAGGCTGAAAACCACTGATTCAGAGTAAAAAGATGTTTTTTTCTTTGAAAAGGGCTCAAAATGGCTTTAAAAGGGGTTATGATGTACTTTTTGGTAATAGAAAGCACTCTTAAAACTAAAGGCGATAATCCATCAGGAACAGTCCTAATCATGATTTTGCAACTTTGCACACTTCAGAATGAGATTTCCCACTGAGCACTTTCATATGTAGTGGTTTAATACTCTACTGTTTTTTTTCCTATTTTTTAAATTAAGGTATAATTGACACATAACATTATAATAGTTTCAAGTATACAACGTAATAATCTGTTATTTGTATATATTGTGAAATGATCACCACAATAAATCTAGTTATCATCCATCACCATACGTTACAAATTTTTTTTTGTTATGCATCCCCATGATTTATTATTTATTTTATACCTAGAAGTTTGTACCTTTTGACTCCCTTCACCCATTTTGCTTACTACCATCTACTGGTTTTTCTTCTGTATTTATATTAAATAAGAAATATTACCTAAGATTCGTTTGATAGAAAACATGTTTTTCTGGTTGATCTTTTTTGAAGTCGTATAGAAAATTCATAAATGTACTGAGATATAACTTTTCAGTTTCTACAAATAATAATCAACACTTTATAGCTCTTATACTCTGCCAGGAACTATAAAGGAGATACTCTCATCTACATTTTATAGACAAGAAAAATGAATCACAGAGTGGTTAAGTTACATGTCTGATACACAGCTAATAAGAGGCAGAGATGGAATTTAAGTCCTGTTAATCTGTCTTCCAAGTCTATGCTCCTAACCATGATAAGCTATAAAGCCTATCTTAATAGCTAACCTTTATTGAGCATTTATTAATACATCCTTACATGTGTTAACTCATTCAATCCTCACAATGATCCAAAAGGCACATATTGCTTTTATCACCATTTATTGGATATAAAAAAGGCTTAAGCAATTTGCTCAAGATCGTGAAGCTTTTGAGAGGTAGAGCTGGAAACTGAATCTAGGCTATCAAAGTCTGTGCTCCTAGTCACTACGCTAGATCGTCTCTCAAAATAGCCATTATTATATGGTTATTAAATTGCTGACACTTGGGGCAATGTTGTAACTTAGGTGCGTTCTTTTTACTCTTCTAGATAATTCTCTATCTACCCTTAACATACTCCATATTACCATCAAGTATTAATGACGCCTTTTCGAAGGCGATGACCTGATACTTCTTACACAAAAAAGAATCACACCCTAAGATGATTTCTCACAAAACTAGTGATTTCCCCCCTTCTTTAACAGTACTTCTGTGTAGCAGTCGAGGATACTGACTGAAGCTCAGGCTTTGGTGTTTGTTTAGGTACCTGCGCTAGGTCATACTGACTTGGGGCAAGAAACTTAGCCTCTGTGTGATTTGGCTTCCTCACGTGTAAAATGCAGAAACCACCACCTACCTCACACGGTTGTTATGAAGATTAAATGCAAATACAGATGCAGGCCTGTACCTGGTATATAGTGTGGACCAGTATGCACAAGGGTCGCACAGTAGGTGCTCGCATATTATATGATACCATTAAAACCACTTATGTGTTCCAGTTTTTAATTGTTTCTTCTATTCAGAAAGCAGTTTATACTTAATTACTAGTTACTAAGTGCAAAGCCAATAACACTGAGCATCCAGAATAGCTGAAGTTTTATTCCTTTATCTTATCTATTTGGTAGGTAAATTCTACTAAGCTTCATTGTGTTAATTCAAGTCATTCAAACATTCATTCAGTTCCCACTATATGCTAGGTAGTAGGAAGATACAAAGATGAGTAAGAAATAGTCCAGGTTTTTAAGAAGTTCAGAGTACAGTGTGTGGAGATGCACAATAGCTCTATGACCACAAATTTGATAATTCAGATGAAATGGACCAATTCCTTAAAAGGCACAATTTACTAAAACTCATGTAAGGTGGAATAGATAATATGGATAGGTCTATATGTATTAAAGAAATTGAATCAATATAATGCAAAATATATATTACTGTTAAATTGTACACCTGAAACTTACTGGATTTCATTAACCAATGTCACCATTATAAAAATTAAAAAAAAAAGAAAAGAAAAGAAATTGAATCAACAGATTGTAAGTATGAAAGAAATACTGGTCTGTCTCCTCAAATGCACTGAATGAAAGAAATTTATCTCAAGCACTTAAAATAAAGAACATAATACAAAATAAATTACTTCACGTCAGATAAGTGAGAATAAAGTATTCTATATTGATAAGAACCATACACTTTGCATCTACCATTTACTGAGTGCCTGCTATGTGCTAATACTATGCTACATGCTTTATGTTGGCTATCTAATTTCCCCCCAAATCTTTCAGGTACTGAGGTATTCCCCCAGTTTATAGATGGGATACTGAAGCTCAAAGAATCTAAGTTGCTCAAAGGCTAGAGAGGTAGCATAAAACAGAGATGGGATTCAAATCTAGGTTTATCTGACACCAAGCCATTATGTTTCCACTCTGACTCTAACACAAGAGGCTAACAAAGTGGTTATTTGAATTCTCACTTATATGAAGTAAATAGTCACTTGAATTTCTTGCTGATACGACAGAAGTAATATGTGATCAGAGAAAATTTTAACAATTTTTTAAATTAATAACCAAGATTTAGTAACTTCACTAAAATTTATTCAATGCAGCTATGATAAAAAATTACTTTTAAATGTGTTACTATTAGGTATTTAACTGAGATAACCATAATTAAAACGTACTATACCAGTCAGTGAAATGCCGTAAAAATAGAGGACACTAACAAGGCATCAATAACAAAGAAAATTCATAGTCGGAATTAACTTACCATTCTTCTTTTATACTTTCAAGATTATCGACTTCTTTCATTCTCTTTTGCCTTACTGTAAAAGAAAAAAGAAACAAAAGCTAAAGTTCTCAATTTAGTATTTTAAATAAATTCATTCCTATGTATGCATTAATATTCTTTAACATAAGTTATTATGTAGCCCTAAAGTAACACTAAAAGGGTCTTAAGAACGAGAGACCAAACTCAAAGCTGTCACTAGGAGATACAATAAAATTACTATGTTTTAAAGTTACCTGAAATAATTCCTATATGGTTTTGCAACCTACTTGATAGTCAATTCAGTTAATTTGTTTCTTAAGTGTGTAAAATATTTATATGGTTACAAAGTTGACCTAAAAAACAAGACATATTCAGAGAAATCCAGTTTCCATCCTTGCTCTTTCTACCCTGTCCTCCTCCTCCTCCCAGCTGATAAGTAACCTTACTTTTTCATTTTTTCTAATGTAAACAAATATATATATATTCATGTTCATTTCTTTTTTAAATAAATAGTATAGTATACATATTTTTTGTCCATCTTGCTTTTTCCCCTTAACAATATATCCTACTGATCACTCCCCAGCTATAAAAATGATTTTTTACTGCTGCATCCCACTGTGTGAATTTACCACAGTTTATTCAACAAGTCCCTTATTGATGGACATTTTTAAATTTTTTTGGCAAGATTTTGCTATTACAATGAATGTTGTAAATAGCACTTTCTGTATTTTTGATAAAGTATCAATGGGACAGAATTTTAGATGCGAGATTTCTGGATATATATGACAACAAAAAAACAAAACTGGACAGTCATCAAAGTGGTAAAAACAGATTCTGTTCAGGAACTACTACAATTAGTGTGGAACTGGGCTTAATTCTGAATATAACATGAACAAAGAGCAGGGGAGGGTGTCAGTGGATGAAAAATTACTAGTGATGAACATGAGAAGTAGATTCATCATGTTAAGATAAAGATAAATTTGTAAAAAAACAAAAAACAAAAAACAAAACAACTAAAAGACCTTCATAAGGAATTCGGTTGACTCAAGACTTGAAGGCAATGTGGGTACAGCAATTTTAGTCATACCTGGATGTGCTATGTGAAGTCAGACAGACAATAGTTATGAATTGCCTAGTGCACAATTGAAGTTATTATCACTTGTCAAAATTCAAGTTAGGGAAAAATTAAGCCTGTTTTATCTAATCTGGAATGTCTGGTTTTTAACTAGGGAAAACACAACCAAACTGATTATAAAGAAAAAAGAAATCAATTCCAGACATTCCAGATTAAATAAGCTTTAAAAAAGTACTAGGGTGCAGTGTTTTAATAAACCTATATGTTAGTTTTAATTCATGACTAGACTTTTTAAAAGTCACCCTGAACCCAGATTACAACTTCTTTCTATATGTGCTTAAAACCATATACTTAAGAAAATATTAGGTCATGACAAATCTGCTTATGATATCAAGGTCCCAGAGACTACAGATTTAAAACGAAAGGAAAACTCTTTACCCAAAAGAATAAGTGATCAAGCTAGATTTCCACAAAGCATTAAAAATATATCAATTCTCAGACTATATCAAATAAGAATATGCTTTTTAAATTCTCTCTGGAGAGAGTAGGTATACAAAAAGCAAACCCAGTACCACTGTTTAAAAATGTTAAGATTTAAGCATTTTAAATAGAAGGCAGACCTGCTCAGTACCAGCTACTGAAGAGCCACTGAAGAGCCATCAGAGCCATCCTAGAGCAATGAGAACCAGAAAGTGGCTCTACAAGTAGTCTACAGGTCCCACTTAAAAGTCTTCAAAGGATGCGGAAGTGACTTTGAATCTGGGTAACTGCAGATCCAGTGATGGCCTTTGACCGGATAAAATCAGTCTGAATGATCTTGGGTCCTGATTTCCCTTGCAGTCTCCTGCTGCTGATAGAACTGGGCTCACGACCAGAGTCAATGTGCCTGGACCACTAACTCTCTTAGCCTCTGTTTTGCTAGGAATTAAAGTAGAATAGTGGAGTCTGCTCTGGAAAATATCCTATCATTGAAAATTGTTTTCAATACCTCTATTGTTTTCATTACGAATTGAATACAAACTGATAGTGAATTTATTCCTTAGCCTTTTCATGAGAAAATTATGAGCAATTCTGAAAGACAAGGGGAAATTGAAAGGAAGAAAAATGAAAGAAATGCAAAGGAACAGAGGTGTCAGTACCAAACAAAGTGGGGGATAGACAGCAACTTTGACAGCATTCCCAATAACTTCAGACTCTACCTTTAAGCTAGACAGTATGGTAAGAGTCACTAAAGCCACACCATCCAAGAGGATGGCATCCAACAATCTAGGCAAATTAGACGTTGCTTTTGTCTCAAGTGGGTATTTTCTATTTCTAAAGTCTTCTTAATCTTTCCTGTACTGCTTTTCAAAATTATTCCTTAGACTTAAAAATGAAAACAGACCACTATTTCATTCAAAGAATCTTAGTCAATATTTATTAAATGAATGACACTGGATTAGGCATTAGATTTACACCGTAACAAATCAGGTAAGTGGGAAGATTTTTTATAATATCAAAATCTTATAACATAATCTTAAATGAATTACATAATCAAACATATGCTTTAAAAATGTAGCCATTAAAAATGATTGTAAAATATAAGATACAACACTGTCAATGTTCTTTTTTTCCCCCAATGTTCTTTTGAGTTTGAAAGTGCTTATTACATTTATTAGATAAATATAATATACTATTTCTTGACCAAGGATGAACCTGAAGTCCAAAGGGAAAAATAATAGTGTATATTTTTACTGGGAAAAAATGAGCTAAAGCCTTTAAAAAGATGTGAGAAGGTGAAGGGGATTAGCGTAAGAGAGCTAAGCCCCTTATCCATCTTCATAGCAATACAAAAGGCAATATGCAAAATTAATAATTCAAAATATACATGTTGCTTAAAAATATGGCTGTAACTAACCGAAAACGCAGCTACGAGTTGAAAGTAGTTGTCTCTAGGGTAAGAGATTTGGGAGGATTTTTTAGTTTTAAGTTTTCTAACACGATTTGCCTTTTAAATTATGTGTATAGGGTATTTTGATAAAAAAAAATTTAAAAACCAGGAAACAAATTAAAAATATATTCAGAGAACCAGAATTTCATGTTCACTAATGTTTTCTCCTAAGACTTTGTCCTTTGGATCTCATATTTCTAAAATGAATGGCTTCCCTTTAAAAATTGCTTGCCTTTAAAACATACATAGAAGATTAGAGAAAAATACAGACACTCATCCCATCCATTCAGATTTCAGAAAAGTTTACATTTTGATTTACTTCTTTGTTTATTTAAGAAATAAAGCACTATAGATACAATTGAACACTTTAATATTTTAACCCGCTTCCCATTAAGAAAAAAATAGTGCAGCCCACTGCCAGTGTGTTAATTTTACATAAACATACTTATTGAGCATGAAGCAAATCTGAGTGGTTTTCAATGTGAAAATAAAATATAAAAACTGTTCTTGGAGATATTTCTAAACAGAACTTGTCTCTAATCCTAATGTAACAGAAATGTATACATAAACCGGATTCATTAAATGAATCTTCATCTAACAACTGCTTGAAAACGATGTTAACATCATGCGTAGGAATTCTGTGTTTTTTAGGATTTGACACTTTTAGCAATCAAGAATTACTGTATCTCGTAAATGGAAGTACCACTACTAAAAACAGAACGCTATAAATAGAATGACATCATTTGTTTCCAAAGACTATTGATATACTAGAGCAATGTGAAAATAATAATGAAAGCAAACTATTTTGTGGCAAACTTTGGGGGTAAGGTTAAGACTGTAATCCGCCAGTTATCTTAGGGAAACTCTGCAGCCACAAGCTCTGCAGGCGAGTATTCTTGGGGCAAACAAGAAATGGGTTAAAATATTTTAAAAATATTTATTAAATGGTATGTCTTCAATATGTGCATCTTATTGCATATTAATTATACCTAAATAAAGTTTGAAAATTCTATATTCAGCACCTACTGTATACCAGGCATGATTCTAGGTGTTTGGGTTACATACTGAACAAAATAGACAAAGATCCCAGCCCTTGTGGACATTACATTTTGGTGGTGCTGTTTGCTTTTTCACTTAACAGTTTTCCAACATTATTTTCAACTGCTCAAAAATAATTCCTTAGTTTAGATATGATCCTTATTGTATCATAAACATAACACATTCATTCTACTTCTTGGCTCACAGTGTCAGCATGCTTCTAGGCATTCAAATCCTTTCAAGTCCCAACTCAAGATCCACTTCTACGATAAAGGTGAAATACTACACCCTTATTAATATTCCTCTCCTAAGGCGTTTAGATTTTTAGCATTTAAATCATATTGTCTGATTTTGTTTACTATTGCTTCTTTTGTGTCTTTTAGCTCTCTCTACTTGATCCAAGATCCTCGAGAACTGATATCATGACTTATACATTTCCTGTTTCCTCCACACATAGCAGGTGCAAAGAGCAGCCACCCTTAAAGCATTTCACTGTTTCCCACTAATTTACTATTCTCTAGCAAATTACTAATATTTTTCATCACTTCATAATTATAGGCTACCGATAAAGTTTTACTTGTTTTAAGATAGCAGAAGAGAACGAAAGACAGACCTGGGATTCTGGGATACGGACTATATCATTTTTGAGCCTCGTACACGTTATTTAAGTTTTTTAAGTCTGAGTGGCCTAACCTGTAACCTGGAGACAATGATCCTCCTCAGAAGGTTGTTTTCAGGACTAAAGGAGATATTGAGAATACAATAACGTCCTGCTCCTTTCTCTTTTCCCACGCTTCTGTCATAACCTCTGTTACAAAGGTTTGTAAGAAACACCTCCAGACTTAGTCTGAAAAGTTAATTTTGACATGGCTATGAAATTTTACTTTTGATTTCACTAATTAAAGCTTTAAAAACATTTCTATACTTACTGAACCTCCCACCACTGGTTTAGAATCTATAATAGAAGGGTCAACAGGGCAGGCACAATCTCTATTACCAGCGAGTTTAAGGACCAACAGGGAAAAAATATACTGAATTACTAATTGCAAATATGGCCTAGAATTAGGACGTAAAAATTGATTCTAGCATGGATATAAAGTCACCGTTATTTTAGGTATTTCCTATCCTAACTTACTAATATGTAAATGAACCATGAAAAGTTTATTTATATCAATTGAGTGAGCTTTCACAATTATCACAGTCATGTGACATGACTGTGTGTCATATGTTCTGTACAGCAGAGAATAAAAAAAGCCATCTGACAAATATGTTACCAGCAAGAAGTGGGCCCTAGAATGGACAGATGAACAATTTCTTCATTTTGCTTCAGTTTAGTTCCAATTACTATCACTACCATCTTATATTTGTATTGTATTTCACAGTTTACCAAACACTTTCCCAAATATTACCCTACTTACTCTCAACAACTGCAGCGATAAAATCAGTCAGAAGACAGTGTAAATTGAGCTTTTGGAACATATCCACTAAAAGGAAAATTTAGTCAAAATAGATTTAGACTGGAAGCATTTGGGATCTTGCTCCCCGGCAATTGTCTGGTTTGGGCTCAAATAAACGCATAAAAATAAAAAAAGATAGATTCAGACTACTAAGAAATGTAGTCTTTTTAATGTATACTTTAGAATTTGAATAGAAAAATGTGCAAATTACCAATTTTCCTTATTTTTATAAACATATATTACAGGCTACATTTTTTTTAAAGATAGAGATTTGTATCAAGATATTCTACTTCTGAGTACACTAACGTTATGTAGAAGTTTCTTCTGAAGGGTAAAGCCCTTCCTGGCATTAAACATAAGGGAAAAGAAACCTATGGATCACATTTCCATGTGCAGTTCCTTTCACTTAGATCTTCCGTGGAATAGAATTAGGCCTCCAAGTGCCAACTATGGTAGCGTCAAACCCTTTAAAATACAGTTTGTTTGTATATTTTATGGATTCTAGTTTACTGTTAATAAAAATGAAAATTTTGGAAAATTTCAGCTTACTGTAATAATCACTGTAATGAAGAGAATACATTTGTGTCTTCTAGAAAAAAAAACCAAAACTGTTAATGAGTGAGTTTTATGCCTCCGGGAACCAAAGTGATAGTGACAAATAATTTAGATGAGAAATCCTAGGGGAAAGCGGAAACTTCCACAGGCTGTCAAGGTCATTGAAGCAGCCATCCTTAGACACCAAGACATTCTCATTCCAGGGTTCCATACTGAAATGGTATCTACCTTGCAAAACCCATCTCAGTGCAGTCTCCTTTAGAAAATCTCCACGATTCCTCCAAAAGATATAAATATAGATTTACTAACAGCGAGGAGAGATCAGTTTTCGTAGCCTGAGCATTTGCCCTATTTTCACAGCCAGAACTATCATCTCTAGGTGGTTACCTCATATCCATTTGTGTCCCCATCCAATCTGGTTTCTACACAGAAGTCAGGGTGATCTTTTTAATTAAGGTACAAATTTGATTGTGGAACTTCCCTGATTAAAACCCTGCAAAGACCTCCCATTGCTCTTTGAGTAAGGTCCAAATCCTTTGAATAGTTTTACAGGGGCGTTCACTGTACTGTTCTCTCATGACATTAGAGTGGTTTGAAAATTTCTCTATAAAAGTTTTTTTAAAAAAAGAAAAAGAACAAAAATTGGTCGCAAACCCTTAACATTGTTTAAAAGGGCCCCACATCATCTATCTGGCCCTAACCACAGCCCCCTTTTGCTTTCTACACTCAATGCAAGTACTTTGACATCTCGGTTCCCAAAATCTTCCCCAGCTTCCGTGGAACCTACTTCCTTTGCCTGACCTTTCTTCTCTCCTTCCGGTGTCACCTCCACCTATTCCTACTTACTATACTATCCCAGCTTGAAGATGACTTTCCCAGGAAAACCTTAACTGATTTCCCCAGCTGGGATATGTGTTCCTCCTTCCCTAACCCCTTATATGTTCTCACAACACTCTGCATTCTTCCTTTTTAGCTTCTATGTAGGTTTATTGGCATTTACTCGTGTGATGATTTAATATGTTTCCCCAAATGACGAGGTAAAGTCCTTAAAGGCAAAATCCATAATGGTCACCATCATATCGTTAGCACTCAACACACAGCAGGTTACTAAAACGTTTTTGAATGATAAATTATTAATTAACATTAAATATTAAGTAAGTGGATGCATGTAAACTATTTATCACAGGGTAGTGCTAGGAGTCAGTGCTCAATAAGTAGTAGTTTCTGTTAAGACTGTATCCTGCCTTGTATCATTATTTGTGTGCTTAATCACTTCCTCCGTCCTGCACACAATTCTCATTTTTGGATTCCACCAGTGCCTAGCGCTAACTTTAGTGTTTTACATAGGTGCTCAATAGTCACTGAATTGCCTTTTAAATACTTTCAACATATTTTGATAGAAAACATAACTTTTAAAGAGTTCTTCCCATTAAAACTATATTCTAAAAACTTAAGAACACTCCAAAAAACACACTTAAGCGGTGACTCTGAAATAAGGAAGCTGCTTTTCACGTCACTTGCATGCCATACTTTCCACACAAACAGTACAGACTGTCAGTTTCCTATCTTTATTTTCAATGATCTCAAATTACGCACGAAGGTTACCCAACACCGAACACCACAGTAACGTCCATTATTGCGGCGAGTAAGTAAAAACTGCGAGTAAAAAGAACGGACACGTAGAAACAGGAATTAAATATGAAAACAGCGAACATCAGACATGCAAAATAAAGTGAGCTGTGGGAGACTGGTAATGACGTTAAACCAAGAAATGTCTCCCCCCAAACAGACATCCTTTCTATTTCTGTTAAGTGCTTTGGCAGCGATCGCCTTTGGAAATCGGGACATTTTGACAGGACATGTCTCCAAGTTTCTGAGCGACTTCGGAACGAGAAAACCAACCGATGTGCTTTCTCGAAGTTCGCACTCGGGAAGCCAGCAGCCGGCAGGCGGAGGACGGCGGCTCACCTGGGCTGGGCAGGAGCCTCGCCCCGCC